GGATTGAACCGTGGTCTCTGTGCTTTGCTTAGCTTAGCTTGTTCTAAGTAGGTGCTTTAGACCACTGAGCCATCTCACCAGCCCCCTTAATAGATTATTATACACGCATGTGATAGAATATTAGCTACTGATCAGACTATCAAAGATTTTTAATTTTTAATGATATGGAAAAAGTCCATACTGCATTTAGTGTAAGAGGCTTCTTCCTAAAAATAGCCACTCCAAATTAAAAAAAATAACAAAACTCCATGTTAATGTCTAAGCAAAAGGAAGAAAATATATATTTAACCAACAAGTCCTCAAACACTGGAAGACAGGAAATTACTGATCTGAAGAAAATTGCCACAAAGCTAAGAATTCCAAGTGTGAAAGTCTCACAGTCTCACTGTTACTGCTTTCCAAAGAAATTTAAAAGAAAAACTGATTGCTAAAGCGTGGAACATGGCACTGAAAAAACTTGTAAATATGAATAAGGGACAAAAACTTAGATAATTAGAACAAAGAAAGCTCAGTATATTCAGACTGCATGTGAATTATACAATTCAGGTACAATAAATAAAAGAATGAATTTTCTATAAAGTGAATGACAGGACAGAAACCCGAGATACCCTCAAATTAAATGAACATAGAAAGCAATAATCAGTGAAAATTAATACATAATGAAGTTCAAAGCCATGGTATCCTGGGACTTCCACTCAGCAGCAAACCTACGAAGTGGCACGTAAAATGTCAGGTTTGTCAATATTTAAAATAAAAAAGGACCCTGTGTTGCGTTTACCTGTGATTAACCTGGCTCTCGGGGGCTGCCAGCAGGGCGCAGGATGCACACACACACTGTCACTTGTAGGTCCGTGACTAGCCAGGGGCCTGGTCCATTATCAAATGAATAGAAGAATGGCTATTTCAAAATCAGTAAGCCTAGCCCCATGCTTTAGAAGAAAAGTAAGCGAGGGGGGAACGCAAGTGGAAAGTACACGCTGCGGAGGTGCAGATCCCTATCGCCTCCACTAGCCGTGCATTCCTGACGTGATGCAGTTGAATGGGAACTTTGAAGTCAGAGGAAGCGACCTGCAAGCCTTGTCGCCACGTTCGCTCTCTAAGAGATCTTAGAGAAATCTGCCAGCTTCTCCAAGTCTCTCATGCTTCGCTGCTTCAGTTGTCAAAAGTAACTGGTGGCAGGGCTAACATTATACGGATAGTCACTGGGGTGGGTTTCTTTTGCGGGGGTGTACCGGGAATCGATCTCAGGCTATAAAAAATTACGGAGCAACATCTTTAATATGGATGAATTTGATTTGTGAAAATGTTTTAACAAGAGTAATGGTAATTTAAGGTCACATGTTGAGTGTTAAAAAGTCTAATCTGGGGCTGGGGTGCAGCTCAATTGTAAAGTGCTTTCCTAGCATGTGTGAGGCTCTGGGCTTGATCCCTAGTACCACAAAGCAATGGAAAATATGGAATGTAGATAGAAAGATAGTCTGAATTTTACAATTCTTACTGAACACATTATCAACTAAAGTAGTATTCTAACTCATGAAACATTTCTAAAAGCCATGTTGGATAAATACCTTCATATTCATATTTTCTATAAATTAGACAATTCTTTTGTCTGTCAGTGAGTATATAGAGTCCCAGCATGTTCACGCCCTGAGTTTCTGATACAGGGGAGGTTAAACATTTTATCATTCCCTATAAGTAACATTAAATACTATGCTATTGGACTAAGTACCTGCTGTAACAAGTTGCATATCTATTTTGGGTGATGTTTAAACCCTATACCCAGGCTCAGCCAACTTCAGCCCAGGCCAGTTCCAGCCCAGATCTGCTTCTCCATGTAAAATTTTAGTGGAACGCAGCCATTTCTGTTCATTTCTGGGTTGTTCATGGCTTTTCACAGCAGCAGAGTTGAGTTACAGAGAGCAGTTGGCCCTCAAAGCATAAAAAGTTTACTTTCTGCTCCTTTACAAAGTTTGTCCAATCCTAAACTACAGAATAAAGAGAAATAACCAAATATGTTAAGAGATTACAAAAAGTGTCCTGACACCAGCGGTCTCAAAGGACTCCACCCAAAGGCAGTAGTACTGAGGCTGGAGTTAGCAAGACGGGCCTTAGGGTTCTGGGAAGCAGTAAGGACAGCGGTCCTCAGTGGAGTCACCTTCCAGAGAGCTTATAAAATCATCTTCCAGCTAGTCAGGTGTGGGGCTGCCCGCCTGCAATCCCAGGAGCCTGAGGCAGGAGGGTCACTGAGAGGTGAGGGCAGCCTGGGGTACCCAGCGAGAAGGGAACAGTGGGAGCAGGAGACCCACCTGAGGCTCAGCCTTCGCCCTCAGCCGCCCTTGGGGGAACAGCTGCTGCCTGGGCTACCCCCTCTTGCCCATGCCCTCCTCCAAAAACCAACTCGATTGTCTTCTCCAAAATAAAGCCGGAGGGCTGGGCAGATAGCTCAGTAGAATAAGTGCTTGTCTGGCAAGTGCAAGGGCCTGAGTTCAATCCCCCGTTCCACAAAATAAATAAATAAATAAATAAATAAATAACAAAACAAAACAAAACCATCTGGCAGGTGTCCGCAGCTGTCTGACCTTCCCAGAGCGCGATCAGACAGGCCATTGGTCCAAGCACGCATGGGCTTGCATGGAGACTGTGTAAACACTACATAGATTGGACCCTGAAAAGTACGTTGACTCTATAGGGTATAGACTATATTTCCTACACAACAGCCTGAGCCTCCTTCTAACCCTTGAACCTCTAGGCAAAGAGCTGTTATGGGTGTCCTGCTCAGGACCCTCTCTCAGCTAGAGGGGGCTCTACTTCCTCGCCTTTCTCTCTTTTACACAAATTTGCTCGCTCCTACCTCCTCCACCCGTGGTCCCATCCTCCATCACTGTGGATTATGACCCCAGGATTCCAGTGACATTTTGGGGTCTCTTCTGGGATGCCACAAGGAGCCGAGTAAGTACATGCTCTCTTACTCTCTTGACATTCGCTTCGTCCAGTCCCACCTCAATTTCCCTTTCCCATTAGATCTTTCCCCTGCAAGGGAGTGATCCCCACCTTGGGGCTGTAGACTCTCCACAGCCTCGATCCTTGCACATACCACTCCTCTAGCTCACTGTAGGTCTTAGGAGGAATGAATCTGCTTTCTCTGTCCGGATTCCCTTTCTTGGCAAACAAAACCAGGAAATAGGAAAGACCTCACATCTTGTCACCTCTTAATTGTCTGGCTGCACTTTTGAAGGTCAGGGTCAGATAGTAAAAAGCTGTGAGAGGGCTGGAGAGGTAGCTCTGAGGCCCACGTGCGTGCCAGGCAAGGGCAAGGACCTCAGTCCAGCATGCTGTGCTGGCCACAGAAACCTGGCATGGTGGCACATACCTGTAATCTCAGTGCAGGGGAGGCTGAGACAGGAGTATTTCAAGGAGTGTGAGCTGCATAGTGAGATCTTGGAGCAGATAAATAAATGAAAGATTAAAAAAATAATTTTAAAAAGCCATTAAAGCATCCACCAATTTAGATTCCCATGGAGGGAAAACTTGGACTTGGAATGGAGCTCATTCCAGGTCCAAGGCAGGCTCTGTTGGGCTCATGAAAACTTCCACACATCTGCTAGGTTCATGTTTTGTGTTTGTGCCTAAAATTCAATGACAATAATAATAATAATAATAATAATAATAATAATAATAAAAATAAAATTCAGTGACAGAGTCATCTTGTTCTTCTGCTGCTTTGTGCTTATGGATGAAGTAACAGTTCCTGCGGGAGTTCATTAGTAATTCAGGGAGTGGGGGTTTTATGCAAATGAGCCCATTCCTTTATTGTTCTGGCCTTTGCCTTCCTACACCGAATGCAGCAAGAAGGCCCCAAGGCTTGGGCTAAGATAAGGATGCTGCTCAAGCTTCCTGTAGGTCTACTGATCAGCCAGTCCTTCCTAACTGAAATGTAGGCATCTATAAACGCACTCTGAGGCTAAAGAAAAAATATGCCATGAGTATTTTAAAATCTAAGCAGCAGGGGGCTGGGGAGATGGCTCAGTGGAATAAGCGCTTCCCTGGCAAGCACAAGTGTTTGAATTCAATCCCCGGTTCCGCCAAAAAAAAAATAAATAAATAAATAAAATCTAAGCAGCTACCAGGCTTGTTACAGAAGGAAACCAGTAAGTAAAGGAAATACAGAGTTATAGATATGAAGATATGTTTTAGTATGAAAAGAAATTATAAGATTTGTTCTCCCAGAATGGAAAAGGGGAGAGAGGGCAGCAACACTAGGAGGCCAAAGTATGACCAAAGCTTTGCAGAGGATGGGGTTTATGTATGTTTGGTTGTTTTCTATATGTTTGGTTGTTTTCCATATTGGCTTGTTGGGCCTAGGCTGCTTCTTCTAAACCTCTTTGTTGCTCAAAGGCAGGCTAATGAGCTACAACACTGACTCATCAATAGCTCCTCCCAGGTCCCAGTTTCCTCTCTGGCCATCTTTATGGTGCTGAGTGTGCAAGGACAGAGGACACTGCAGTCAAGTAGGACTTTCCATCTTCTTAGATGAGGATGACATAAGAGAGCGCAAGTTGGTGATAGCCAGATGACAGACAACCACCCAGGTCTAGCCGAGATCTCCACTTTGGGTTTGGGTTGATAGCCTATAAAAAATACTTAAATGACCATTGTGCTCCGCTTAGTGTGCTGGGGCTCTGTAGTCTTGACTGCCTTTCTGCACATTCTAGAAGGCCTGACAGTTAATGTGCAGTTTCACTTACAGAGGTATTTCAATTTGGAGGGTAAAGGAAGCCCAACTTCTGGTCACAACCAAAGGGGTTCCGGGACGTCAGAGAGGGTGAATGCCGTGATAGTCAGAGCAAGTAGAAGTCTCACGCCCTCTTGATTCTCACTTGCAGTCTGCAGCAACTAGGACCTCACAGGCAGTCAAGGGATGTCTTGGCCACTGAATGCTTCAATAGGGAAAGCAAGGGACACCTTTGCTTCCTTTGATGTTTTCAGTAGGAGGATTGATCTCAACTCCCATTATGTCCTTGTTACACGTTCTCAAAAAATTTGGATTCTTTTGATCCACAGATTCTTAAAGGCTACCATCTGACCTGCTTTTGCAGCTGCACTGGCCTTCCTATCCTTCAGGAAATGGAGGAAAAGGGTATTACCTGATAAGGAATCTTACAGGGACCACACACAGTGATTCTATCCATCCCAAAGTAGAAGGAATTAAGTCTTAGATACACATTTTTGACTGAAACCCTGGATACTGTTACCATCCAAAGATGAAGAGGTTGACCATTGTATCCATGAGCTATTAGAGGCCCTCAAAATCCTCTTCAAGAAAAAAAAATCACTTAGCCAGGTGAGGTTGTACATGGCCTGTAATCCCAGCATTCTGGAAGTTGAGGCAGGAGGACTGCTGCAAGTTTAAGGCTAGTCTGGACTATGAGTTTAAGACCAGACTGAATTACAAAGCAAGACCATGTCTTAAAAATATAAGATGTGATGCTGAGTTTATTGGCATGATGTTAAGATTAAAGGTGTCCCACGTGGATGTGAGAGCTACCAGAAGCCTGGATAAAATGAAAGGGCAAGAAGAGGGCTGCTGCCACCACTTGCTGCTTGCTACTTCAGGACTGGCTGCCGCTGGCTGCCACACCACAGGCCACTTCTCCTCTGCCATGTGCTGCCCTGCACTGGAGCCAGCTGACTATGGACTGAGCCCTCTACAAACTATGAGCTGAAATAAAGCTTTCCTCTTTAAAATTTGGGTGTTGAGTATTTCGTTTTTTGGTTTTTAGTTTTTGTGTGTGTGTATTTAGGACAGAGTGTACAGGGTCTCACTGCCTAGATTGGACTTGTAGTGATTCTTCT